GGATCACTGTAAGTCCATCTAGTAATGAGACCCTGAACACCCTGTAGACTCTTCTCTAAAATACTAATTAATTAATCAATTAATTTAATTTAATTATAAAGAAAAAAAAGAACAATTCAGGTTGGGCATGATGGCGCACACCAGTAATCCGAACTACCCAGAAGGCCAAGGCAAGAAATTTACAAGTTCAAGCTTAGCTTAGGAACTAAGCAAAACCCAGACTCAAAGTAATTTTTTTTAAAAAAATAGAATGGGAAAAAATAAATAAAACAGCTGGGGATGTAGCTCAGTGATAGAGTGCTTGCCTAGCATGTGTGCAGCTATGGGTTTAATCTCCAATACTGAAAAAAACCCCAAAAAAAACAAGTAATTCTGAAAAATAAACTAGGAATTAAGCATTTCCCTGGAGACTGTTATCTTCTCTACTAGGTATCTCCATTATCAGAGAATAAAAGGTGGTAGTGATATTAGTGGGATCTAATGATATTTAGCAGATGAGTAGTTAGAGGTTTTCAAATAAAACTGGCATATAACTTGGCTAAAGATATAAATGGCAACATTTAAATGCTGTATCATAAGCACGAAACTACGTATAGGGACAACTTGTTCAAAAACCAAAGGATCGGGCCAGGAAGATAGCTCAGTAGAATAAGCACTTGCTTGGCAAGCACAAGGTCCTGAGTTCATTTCCCCAGTACCCCCCCCCCATGCACCCTAAAAAAAAAAAATAATAAAAACAACCCAAAGGATCATTTGAAATGCTCTCCTTTAAAAACTGTTGATGTAGGGGCTGGAGAGATGGCTCAGTGGAATAAGCAGTTGCCTGGCAAGGGCAAGGGCCTGAGTTCAATCCCCAGTTCCACCAAAAAAAAAACAAAAAAACTGTTGATGTATACCAAACTATACATGAAAAACATTCAAAGACAATTTTGAAAGCTGTTTTTACCTGATCTGTATACCAGTAGTAGGGAGCGGGATCAATACCTTCCCTTTTATAACCTGCCAGGATTTCATCATTATCCCAGATGCGCATGGAGCCGCCCACAATCTCACCAACATTGGGCATCAACACATCGACTGATTCAGTAAGACGGGGATCCTCAGGACATCGCTGCATATAGAAGGATTTGATCTCCACAGGAAATCGACACAGCAAGATTGGTTCATTAATGGTGTCTGTCATCTGTCTCTCAGGAGCTTCTGGGATATCCTGCGGTTAAACAAGACTTGATTAACATTTACAACCCAAGATGCACCAGACAGAAGAGCTCTTTCATCCTGCACAGCCCTGTCTCCCATCAGGCAACGTGGTAGAGAACATGCACTAAACCTTGATCCATAAATTCTCATGCAAGGAACAGTTTCTTTCAAAGGAAAGAAACCCTGTTTTATAAATTCACAATTATTAAGAGAACTGTAACATACTCTGCCTTCTTCAGTGTGTCTCAAGCATCACACTTGTTGAAGAATGAGAAGAAAAAAGCAAAACTCTCCAAGCTGACCATGAGTTATTTTTTTGCAGCAGTCAATGTTAGCAAGCTCTAAAGCAAACTGTGGTCCACTCAGCCTCCTGAAAGTAATCAGCGCATGCTCCAGAATATCTTCGACCTACGAAGTACCTTATTAATTACACTAATCTTTAAACTCTCCTGTGATCTGCACTTCTTCTCTCCTACAATAAATCAGTCAGGCCTTCAACAGTAGTGAGACACAGTCATAGCATTGTAAGTGGAACCACAGCTGGAGTAACTGGCCAGGAAATGTTAGGCGATGAATCAAAAGGAGTCAGTTTCTCTACCTAAATCCTCCAGTAAAGCACGCATGAATTCAAGTTCAACCCGAAAACTCTTGCCCTAGTAACAACTGATTGAGAGAATTGGATAAGACTCAATAATTTGTTTAATGGAAGACCTGAAGCAAGAGCTTATCAAGTAGAGGGCACAGCTGCTCTCTGCTTGGTCCTGGAAGCCCTAGGCCCTCTGAGGTGCAGGAGCACAGGAGAGATGAATGGGAGAGCTCTGGCCTCTTAGCTGGTATCCACTTGACATACTGGGGCACTGCATAAAATCAAACTATGGGAGAAGGACCTTGCTGCACCACCTGCAGCCTGCAGACCACCTCTCTCTCTAGCCTCTTGTGCCTAGGTGACAGCACGTGTATCTAGCGCTTGCTGAACACACCCTGAGGCTCTCTGTGCCACGGCCTGGCTAGGCCTTCAGCTCATTTTGGCCCCACAAACTTGCCAAGAGGTTGTGACCTCCAAAGTAGCGAAGGAAGAAGAGCACAGGCCTTTTGCCTTCAGCTCTCAGCAGTCCGGGACAGAGGTGGGAGCTAAGCCCACTACCGAGGGAGAGCCTGGCTCCACAGCTTGTGTTCTTTCCACTCCCCACTGTGTTAAATACGACATCACTTTGCCTAGTGCATGATACACCAAAGCACTCAAGTTTTCTGTTCAAAATTGTGTTTTAGACAGCATAAACTGAATGTACACACCAGAGTAGTTTGTAGAGATCTAGTAGGTTGTTCTGTCTACTAACTTTTTAAAAACCAAAACTCTAGCTAGTGGCAGCTACCTACTTTTTACTTATAGAATAGGCTGGCAAATAGATAAAGAACGGCTAAGGGGGGCTGAGGACTTAGCTCAGTGACACAGCACCTGCCTGGCAAGTGTGAGCTTCTGAGTTGAATTCCTGGTACACCCCCCCCAGGCCTGAAAATAAAAATAAAAAATAATAATAAAACATAAAACAGGAAGAGCCTGGAATACTGCTGCCAGCCCATACTCCCAGAACATGCTTGGTGGGGGGGGGGGGGGCCCCCCGGCAAATACGAACTCAGCGCATGAAGTGTGTCTTGCTAACAGGTCACATTCCCCACAAAGCTTTCTCCCTCAGTTTTATATCTTATTCAATGACTATTTCATTGGAATCTCCTCTCAAATTGTTTTAAATCTCTAATTCTAAGGAAAACAAATTCCTATTCAAAGAATGAGGCACTTTTTCCAGAGAGACAAAAGAAATAAATACATATACCAACATTTTGTTTATACTTTGAAAGGCTTCACAAACTTTTTTTTTTTCTTGCTGCATAGTTCAGGCTGGCTTTAACTTGTGGCAATCCTCTGACTCAGCTTCCCAAGTGCTGGGGTTAGAGGCATGCACCAACACGTCCAACCAGCTTCACAAACTAAAAGCATCCCTGCCAGCTGACAGGATTATGAACAGAATTTAGAAGTTTGGGTTAAACAATAATCCCAGGGAAAAGATGAAGGATGACACAGGAACACTTGCCATCGCTCACTCGACAAGGAACCAACAGACAACCCAAGCAGCTGGTGCTTTCTGCATTAGCCAACTAAGCAGAAAAGTGCAAGCCACAAAGGACAGCACTGCCTCTGAAACAACAAGGAGAGAGGAATACATACCTCTCCAAATTCGTAGAAAGTCCCATCTTCTTTCTTTATATTATGTTCTTTTAACCACACAATAGCATCTGTGTAGTTCATCCGTCTGAAAGGTCGTTTGGGGGGCTTAAAGTTCTATGCAAAAGGGACAAACACAGGGCATATAAAGACACTGCTAACCTTAAAATGCCCATTAATCAACAAACCTATTTATCATTATTACAAAAGATTATTTCAGGGATAGGGAGATAGCCTGGCAGTCTAAGCACCTGCCACAAGGACACAGGTTTGATCCCTGGTACCACATGCTGAGCCCACCCCAAAACCAGACGTGGTGGCACATGCCTGTAATCCCAGCGCTGGGGAGGCTAAGACAGGAAGATCACTACGAGTCCGAGCTGCGTAGCAAGACCCCATACCAAATAAATAAATAAAGGTGTTTTTTGTTTTTTTTAATTTAAAGGAAAAGATTACTTCAGAGTAGGAAACTATGAGAACACCACTTAAATGGAAAATATAAATAGATGTCTTCTTAGGTAATTTAAAATATGTGAAATTACTGGCAATGAGCACTTGAAACAACTGGGATGAGGGAAAGGAAAAAAGAAAGAAGGGAAAAAGAAATATATATATATATATATGTAAGATAGCTTGGATAATTGTATTGCTGATTTCTGCTGGTCTATTGAAAGGAGCAGTTAATGCTTAAATTTATTTCCTTTTTAATTATTAAAAGTTTATTAGGATTTTCTTTTAATATAAAGATGAGAAACAAAAACCACATTAAGTTGTAGCATTCTTTCTGCATTTAGTACAGGGTCTACAGGGTCTCACTACATAGATCGGACTCATAGTGATCCTCCTGTTGACAGCCTCCCAAGTGCTGGGATTACAGGCAAGCACCACACGCCCAATCTCACAGCATTCTTTTTGAACTAGAACCACTCAAGCTTAATGCTCCATGACCAATTTCTTGAGGTAGCAGATGGTAGAATGTCATACACCATTACTTATCATTTGTGTGCCCTAAACATCACAGAATCTGCAGCATGTTTTTTATAATATCTTGAGCAATCTTACAGCCTTATATCTGCTAATCTGAACAACTAATTGGAAGACAACAATAGCAATATAACAACCATTGTTGAATTCCTATCATTTTGTTTAGTGAAATTCTGTATTGTTCCTAAGGGATTTTTAAATTTTTTTTGTATTCTCTTTAAAATAAAAAAATTCAAAAAAACTTTTAGTCTTCAAAATATTAGTCACTTAGTTCAGCTCACCAAGCCATCAAATCTATAAAACCAAGTGTGAAGATTGCAGAATCTTTCAGAAAAGGATTATAATCCTTTCATTTTCATGAAATGCTACACCCACCGGGTTGAGATCCAGTACTATGCTTCCTGCTGGTGACTTTAAGATTCTATCTACGACGTCACAAACCAAGTCCTCCAACCGATTCAGGAGCTCCTCAAAGGTCAGGAAAGGGCACTCTGCTTCCACGTGAGTGTACCTGAGGAAGATGACACTAGCTCTGAGTTGCTCTTCTTTCACACTAGGTTTCTCTGGAGCAAAGACTGGGACACTGGGAAACTATCCAGAAAGGCAAACTTCACACTGCTAACCAAGTCCCACCTCTACAAGTTAGTCTGGACACCCCTCCAAGTCCTGGAGCAGAGACTTGTTTATTCTTTAACCCACAGAGATCAAGGCAAAGTGAAAAACAGGCTTCAGCTATGATATAAAAGACAAACTTTCATTATCTTCCTAATGTGTAAATTTTGAAAATATAGATCTAATTTACCTACAGAAAGCTTTCTTCCCTAAAGGTATTTTCTAAAAATGAGTACCAGCAAAGACATTTCATACTCAGCCAGGTGCCTTCGTGTCCTGGACTGTTCTGCCCTGTATGATTGTGCAATACAGAACACATCTCCCAGGGCTGGAAGGCAGGTCTCCAGGTACAACTGAGAGGACTGAGTTAAAAATGCCTCTTCTCCAAAGTAGTCCAGCTTGAAGAGTGTGGAGCCGCCTTCAACCTGCGTTTGCACTAATGTCGGAGGAGTAACCTATTCACATGGGAAAAGAAACAAAGGCCTGCTGTGAAGACTGCTCTTCACATCCCAGAACAGCAAGAGGGACTGTATGCAAAAGGTAGGCATCACCAGCACACACTCACTTCGTAGTACCCCCTATCAAAGAAGTGGTCTCGGAAGCACCTGGTCACCACAGAGCGTGCTCGCAGGATTTTGGACATGTTTTCTCCCCGGATCATCATGTGCCTGTTGTTGAGCTGGACATCCACATCAGACTCTTCGTTGATCAGGTTATCAGCTCCTCCAGCAGGAGCCAGCCCTATGAGTTCCCAGAAGTCACAGTTCAGCTCGTGGCCTCCTGGAGCCTAGAGAGAGGAGAAACACAGGAGGGGAGAAAGAAACAAAAAGTCACAGTGCTGAAGATTTTATGTCCAAATTTTTGATGACATGTCTAAGAACTATATTATAAGTTCTTTCAAATAAAAGGAACAGTAATTCAATTTTATCTCATTATATTTTACATTAAATATTTTCTCAGAGTTAATATACCCAAACTCCTCTTTTTGAGTTTGCATTTATTTTTTTAAATTAGTTTTATTAGTACACTTTAAATACATATAATCATCACATTCCTCACAGGGAATTTAACCTGTACATAAAATATCTTGTTTCTTTTTTTCTCATTCCTCTCCCCTCCCATACACTCCTCTTCCCCTCCTTATTTACAAGCTTTGTGTCCATTTTTTTCCTTCTAGTCTTTTTTTCCTTTTCCCTCCACCCTTGCTTCCCTTCCAATTGGAACATTTTCTTCCTACTCCCCAGTATCTATCAGGGAGCCACATCATTTTTTAAAGACAAAAGCACAAACTAGGAAAAAAACTGTAATCTTACTACATGGGAAAAGCTTAATTATTGTTAATATTTTCATGTATCTTTCTAGTCTTTGGCCAGTAACTTAACCAAGTTATCCACACTGAAAAACTTAGAATGTGAAGGCTTTACCAAAAGCTGTTAAATCTTTGAGGAAAAAATTATATATATATATATATATATATATTTACCAACCTAAATTTTCCCTAAGAACTCCATAAAAGCAATTCAGTTTATTTTTTTAAATTATTTATTTGTGTGTGTGTGGCCAGCTCAGCCCACCAGGGGGCAGGGCTGGCTGGCATGTGGTGCTGGGGGATTGAACCGCGGTCCCTGTGTTTTGCGAAGCCTGTTCCAAATAGGTGCTTTAGACCACTGAGCCATCTCACCAACCCCACAATTCAGTTTAAAAGTAACACCATGGAATATATAATTATCCTGTGCTAAACACCAGACACCAAGTGACATCATGACAACCACTCCATTTTGCAATCATTCCACTTCCAAGGAAACTAAGTAGACTGCAGATGATCTTACTCACGCCCTTTACAGGGACTCTAGGAGATCTCAATGTATTTCTAGTTGATCAGGGCTGTTGTTCCCTCTTACAGTTAATGTATTAGATGTATTTTCTTTCTTTCTTAGGCAACAGTTAATTACTAGCAAGTAACTATAACTGGAATAGTTTGTGTATTTTCGGCTACCAAACAAACAGCTCTCTGAATATCAAAAATGTTTAACTTTTTGAAAAACAGGCTTGCAAATTCAGCTCACGAACTTTGAGGTTTACACTGTCAAGAATTTATTTCCACTTATCTGAAAAGTTATTCATAAACCCAAATGGCTTTAGTACAGTCCATGATGATTAATCAGGAATTCAAGGAAGGTGAAAATCTGATTTCCTTATCATATACATGAGTTACGCTGTTTTAGTGTTTAGTTAAGTTTTAGGTTTGTGCATTGCAAAAATCACTCGGACATTAACTACCAACACAACAGTGCTGGTAGGGTGTTATGGTATGTGGCTAGATGGTTCCCCAAAAGCCTTACTTCGTCACAGGTAGGCTTTTCAGAGGTGGCTGGATCAAGTATGTGATGACAGGATTAAGTGTATGATGCTGGGATCAGGGGTGTGTGACTACTAAATGAATCCACTGATTGGTTTGGCATAGATCTGAGGTGGACACTAAGGAGGCCCACTTTGGATACAATATAAGGGATAGAAAAGAGGGATGTCTGCTGTTGCTTGCTGCTTCTTTGCTGCCTTCTGCCCACCGTGAAGTGTTTCTCCTCCACAGTGCCCCTCTGTCATGTGACTGTGCCCTGCAGCGAGCCAACCATGCCCTGAAACAAACTGTGAGCTAAATGAAGATTTCCTCCTTTAACTTATGTGCTGGAAATCTTCTTTCAGCAATGAGAAAAAGTAACTAAGTATGGGGCTTAATGGGAGCTGGTAAGGTCATGAGTAGATTAATTAATGCTGGGGACTAGGTTACCTATAAGTTATCATGAGTGCAATCCCATCCTGATTTCTACCTGAGGCATTTCTTTCCCCATGTGATGCCTTTTGCCATCCTATGACACAGCAAGAATGTCCTCACCAGATACAGCCCCTCTAGCCTGGACTGCCCAGCCTCTAGAACCCCCAGGAAATAAATTTTCCTTTATAATTTATGATAGCAACATAAAACAGATTAAGATAAACTGTGTAATGTACATCTTTCATTGGAATAGGCATATTACACTTATAAATGCTTCAGATTTATGCATGTAAATACTAAAAACAAAGGTACACATAAAGACATTTGAGAACAAATAAACATCCTTTTATTCACTCGATGAGAGGTTTAATGCACTTACTTGTTTGCCTTTTGGGGTAAGAGCTAGTGTTCCATATACTGCAACACTACTCTCAGTAGATAAGACTACTCCATTGTAACACTGGCACTATAAAAAGATTAAAGTTCAAATTAAGGTATCACATTAACACAGGTAAAGTTAACAGATTTATAAACAAGTGGCCTGGTCAAATACTATAATGAGACTGCCACTGATTTTTAGTGTTAAAAAAGAACAATTACTCTTGTTGAAGACAGATTTATTGATATATCCGTACACTGTGCAACACTGTTTTGGAAACAACAGACTACATACCTGGTGGTCAGCTGATGAGATTATATCTCCCAGTGGCATGATAACAATCTTAGTTTCTGTAAATACTCTATGATGTTCATGTAAAAACAAAATTGCCTAACGCTGATTTTTCAGAATGGGGTGCTGCTATTAAGGGATACTTGACTGTTCATACAAGTAAGTAGACACTCAAGTACCATCTTACAAACATATACAGTGTAAGTATAAATTACATTGCTCCCTTTCACTTAAATCCTTTTTTTTGTTTGTTTGGTTTTTGTTTTTGTTTTTTTTTTTTTTTTGCAGAAGCAGGGATTGAACTCAGGTCCCCGCACTTGCCAGGAAAGCATCCATTCCATTGAGCTATCTCCCCAGCCCCAAATCCATTTGGACAGTTCATTTTTATTGGTTAATCCAGGCCATTTAACAAACAGAACCCATCTACACTTTGATGATCAATATTTGAGGTTATTAGAATGATGATGGGCACCTTGACAATGGAGGATTGGGCTGCCAACACCTAAACCCACTAATAAATACACCAGATGTGACATGCCCTTTGATACATTGTAATTAGAAGAACACACCCAGTTTCAGTGGCTGGCAGTGCACCCATGCCTGACGTTCCCGGACTGCACAGCACGCGGTGCAGGGGATCTAACCCAGGTCCCTGTGCTTGCCAGGCAGGTACGTAGACCCCCAAGCTATCTCCCTAGCCCTGTTTTGTTTTTTTCAATTTAACAATAACCCACAACTGTCGTTTTTTTCCTTAAAAATGCACAAAAAAAATACTTGAATGAAATGATATGATATCTGGGAGAGTAACAGGATACGATGTCCGGGAGAGTAGCAGGATTGGCCATATATTGGTATTTACTAAAACTGGGTGATTAAGATGCTTTATGCTGTTCTCTATTTTACGTGTGGCAATTTTTCAATAAAAGCCCTCCCAGCTTTACTAAGGTATAATTAACACATAAAGGCTTTTGTATTGATGCCACAAGGCATGATATTTTGACAGGCATATGCACTGTGAACATAATAAAAACTTAAAATAATTCTACATATCCAAAACCTTTAAAACAATAAGGGAAGCTACTGAAAAACATCTAATTTTCAGCCATAAATAAAAGAAAGTATTTACCAAAGCATCTGACAAGACACACTGAAGGAAACCTGTACCGTCCCGCAACACCAGGAACATTAAATTCTTTCCTAAAAATGAGAAATACAAGCTTAGCCAGACTGTTCTCAAGGGACCACCGAGGACTTATCAGAATTTAATCAAGGAAACTTCAACATTAAAGATGGAAGACCAAGCCTCCCACATGAGCCCCTAACGTCAAAATGCCCAGGAGCACTGCTACACAACAGGTAGAAGTCACCTTCTTTCCATGTGCGTTTAGATCTCACGCAATTGTCACAATCCACACAGCAACAGGTCAGCAAATTGTTAAGCAATCAGCTGAAGGATTCTGTCTTATTCACCGTTAAGGTCCTTGACATGGGGAGGGCCAGGGAGATGGCTCAGTGGAATAAGTGTTTCCCTGGCAAGTACAAGGGCCTGAGTTCAATACCCGGTTCCGCAAAAAAAAAAAAAGTCCTTGACACGAACAGCATGGTGCATGAGGGGGGCATAAATATTGCCAAACAGGGGCTGGGGAGATGGCTCAGTAAAATAAGCGCTTGCCTGACAAGCACAAGGGCCTGAGTTCAACCCCTGGTTCCACCAAAAAAAAAAAATTGCCAAACAGAAGTACTCTCTATCTAGTCACAGATAATTCGATAATTACAAAAATAACACATAAAAATCATAGTAGAAGCAGCTGGGCATGGAGGTGCACCCCCGTAACCCCAGGGCTGATCAAAAGATGGGAGTACTGCTTGGGCAACTTGGCAATGTCACAGCTCGAAAGAAAAACTGAAAGGGGCAGGGAGACAGCTCAGTGGTGGAGCACCCCTGGGTCTGATACTCAGAATTGCAGAGGGGACAGAAAAAGAGGAAGGATGGGGCTGGTGAGATGGCTCAGTGGTCTAAAGCACCTACTTAGAACAAGCTTAGCAAAGCACAGGGACCGCGGTTCAATCCCCCAGCACCACATGCCTGCCAGCCCCGCCCCCGGTGGGCTGAGCTGGACACACACACACACACACACACACACATAAATTTAAAAAAAAAGAAAAAGAGGAAGGAAACTATCAGGAACAAGGGAGAAGCAGAACGCAAACACGCTCTTTTAAGTCGCACACTACAGCCACGGTTCAGTCATGCTCCGGCCTCCCTGCACCATAGCTCCTGGTTTTCATGGAATCACTAAACTTCAATTTTAATGTATTCCGTACAGGTTCTTACAGGATCTACACTGATGGGACTCTTCATCCTCCTGTTCTCGGCCTCCTAAACTCTCAGATTACAGGCGCGTGCTACCACACCCAGTCTCAATTGCAGACTCAGCACGCTCTGGGGGCAGAGCCAACTCAGCAACTAAACTTCAATTTGATAAATGTTTCCCAGACACTTCATCCCTGTAGTTGCTAACAGTTAACAATGTACTTAAATAATTTTTGAACTTTAGTCACATTAAATAAGAACTGAATACATAAATCACAATATCCATGTCAAAGCTAACACAACAAAAAAGTCTGAAAAATATCTCAGCAAATATCTTCCTTTTCTTCTCTAAGACTAAAATGTAAAGTTAAAAAGAGGAAAAGAAAAGCGGTATCATTCACCTTGTCTACGCAGCCTGTGGACCCAGCCAAATAACTTCACTCTTTGGCCTCTATATCCTTCTAATGCACAAATCTTCACCTATAAAGGAAAAGAAATAATATTTGAATAACCATGTCATTTGTTACATACCAATGTTTTCATTAATATGAAATATGCAGTAATACAGTGTTTAAAAAGTAAAAAATTGGGGGGTGCCTGCCCCTTAGCTCAGTTCTTTAAGTGGCTGCTTCAAGAAAGCAGTCAGGCTCAGGTTGCTGTGGTTTGATCCCCACAACTCAAGCCAGCCAAACCTGCCCTGAAGGCATTCGGAGAAAAAAAAAAAAAAAATCAAGAATTGGCAGGTTAGAACTGAAAAATGGCACCATATTAAAGTGGCTTAAAAATATCCAAATCTTGGCCCAGGAAGACAGCTCAGTAGAATAAGTGCTTGCTTGGTAAGCATAGGGTCTTGAGTTCAATCCCCGGTACCATAAAAATAAATAAATAAAAATATCGAAGTTTCTGTGTAATGCAAAACAGGCAACAAGATATACCCATAAAGTTTTCGGATACTGCTGTAGGAAAAAATCAGTTAATAAATGAACTCAGTGTCACAAGCAGAGTCCCGCTCCCCACAGCTGAGGCCACTGTAGCCACACAGGGCCCTGTCCATGACCTCACAGTCCCTCCACACACTCTGGGCCTTGGAAGCTAAGTAAAAGACTTTCGGTTTGAAACAGGAAGGCACCGAGAGATGCACAGAGGAAACAGGCAGTGAACACAGCCACAAGAAACAATTCCAGGGGGCCGGGGAGATAGCTCAATAGAATAATGCTTGCCTGGCAGGCGCAAGGGCCTGAGTTCAACCCCCAGTTTCACCAAAGAAAAGAAGAACAATTCCATCACTAAGTAGGGAAAATAAGGCAATTGTTAGCCAGAAAACTCTAAGAATTCAAACCATGTCCTTTCACAGTGCAGCTGTTTTAGCTCCAGAAAAATGAACCAAATTTCACAGAAATATACCTTCAGAAAAATCCTGGATTTCTACCTGCTCCCTTATGGTGAGGAGAATACCAGAGAGGGTGAACTTACTGGAGCAACACCACACAGCACAGCCGGGGCTGCACCCTAGGTCTGCTGGGCTTCAGTCAGACGAGAATGTATTTCACATACAATTACTAAGCTCTATGTTAAAGCAAATGCCTAAAGAAGGAGTCTCTTTGCCCTAAAACCTTTCTCTATCCATGCTAGAAGAAAGGACAAACAATGTTAAGGAACAATGTGGTGTACCACTCACAGCCAGAATCAATGACATGAAACGATGTGTACACTTACACACTTGGGCTCTGGCAGACTTGGATCCTTTTTAATGGATATCTTCTTGGCTTCTTCCAGGTTCTTTTCTCTTCGCAAACTATCTTCTGCCTAATTTTAATATCAAGTCAAGTTGTTAACATGGCTTCCAGCAATTTAACTTGCAAAATATGTATGGTGATAAGCTATTGGTTACCTCTTTCTTCTCCTGGGATTCATTCTTCATTTGTTCCCTGTGCCACATTTTTTTAATGTTCTTCATCTGTGATTTAGAAATAACATCCCACCTCTAGAAAGAAATATGGATACATAATTTTACCCAAGACCTCTGTTTATTCTATTTTTAAATTCAATTCAAAATTTATTCACAAGTATAATGTAAAGTTTGGGGTTCATCTTACCTCATTTTCTTTTTGTGAATCTACGTAAATGGTAGGGAATGGTTCTTTTCCTACTGTCATCAAAGCCTCAGGGAGGGAGAGAGAACAGAAGAAAATGTAATGAATTATTCTCTGTGGTGGCAAGACCTGCAGCTTAGGAAAATCAACCTTTTCTAAAGGACAGTAATACTACAAAGCTACAGTGATAAAGAATAGTCTGGTATTGGCAAAAAACAGACATGTAGATCAATGAACAGAACAGAAGATTCAGTAACAATTCTAAGCAAATTCAGTTACCTGACAAAGAGGCCAAAAACTTTCGCAGGAGGAAAGATGGCCTCTTTAACAAATCTCACCAAAGATCAAATTTACCCATATTTCTTATTATGTACTAAAATAAAATCTAAAAGATCAAAGATCTAAATATCAAAACTTAATCTGCTGGAGGATGTAAAAAAAAAATAAAACTCTTGAAAACATAGCTATAAGTGAGGGCTTTCTGAACTAAAACTCTATCCAATTATAAAAGCTAGTGCACAGCAAAAGGAATGACCAGCAGAGTCAACACAACGTACAGAATGGAAAATTTTTTGCCAGCTATTTCTCAGAGGACTACTATTGAAAATACATAAAGAACTCAAAATAATTAAACCCCTCAAAATAAAAGATCCATCAAAAAATGCACAACTGAAGCCAATAGACACATCTCAAAAAGCAATTGCCAATAAATGAAAAAAAGAGTTCAACATTACTGTCCTTTAGAGGGGCCTGGGAGATAGCTCAGCTCCTGAGTTCAATCCCTGGTACTGCAAAAATAACAACAACAACAAACAAACTGTCCTTTAGAAAAATGCAAATTAAAACCCTGAGTTCATCTTATTCTAGAAAGATTACCATCAAGAAATGAGATAATGAGGTGCTTGCCTGGCAAGTGCAAGGGCCTGAGTTCAATCCCCAATTCCACCAAAAAAAAAAAAAAAAAAATCTGATAATGGGCTGGAGAGATAGTGCAGCAGTCTAAGCACCTGCCTGGCAAGCACAAGAACCTGGGTTCAATCTCTGGTATTGCATGTCATGCTGGCCCTAGAGCCCCAGGTGCACTGCACTGGCCACTGAAACCAGGCCTAGTGGCACACACCTGTAGTCCCAGCACCTGTTGTCCCAGTCCCAGGCTAAGACAGGAGGATCACTACAAGTCCGAGCTACACAGAGAGACCCTGTACCAAATACAGAAATAAATGAAAAATTAAAACAAAAATCAGGTAACAACAAATGCTGGCAAACCTGTAAGGAAAGGGGAACTGTTCCTATTGCTGAAATTTAAACCACTACTGATCATGAAAATCAATATGCAACTTCCTTAAAAAACTAAAACAAGAAATTCCATTCAACCTGGGTATTTCCCTCCTAGATATTTTTCCCATAAGAGTTCAAGACATTATATTTTGATGCATACTTGTATTTATAATAGTACGACTCACAACACCTAAAACTAGCAGGCAGCCTATATATCCATGAAAAGATGAATGGGTCAAGAAAATGTGTATGTGTGTGTATACACATACATGTACAAAATATTACTCTGTGAAAAAGAATAAACAAATCCTTTGTAGGAAAATAGATATACCTTGAGATCATGACAAGTGAAACAAATCATACACACACGCTTAACTATTGCATAGTTCCTGTTTTATGAGAAACATAAAACAAATCGTGAGTAAAATAAAAGTTAAATAGGAAAACAAGAAAAGAGATGTAGGGAAGTGGGTTTGAGTGGAGGGAAAAGCTACAGCTGAGAAGAATGGGAGGTGACGGGAACAGATGAGTCTTGCACATGTACCAACTCCTCATGGTGAATGTAATCACTATGTACTGCAAACATGTACTAATAAAAAAAAGGAAAAAGAGGTACATTAGTCTCCACTCAATGAATACAAGGAAGGAAATGAATCTTTACAAAACAACCATGAGTCCACCTCTTCAACATTAGACACCACAGGATGCCACTATGCACAACATACCACTTCAATCAACGAAGGGCCACGCATCCCACTATGTCCTATAAGATTCCATCACCTAATGTCATCACAGCTACCTTCATTTGTACAAATACACTCTACCCCATCCTGCAGGCAATTCAATACTCAATCATTCCCATATTGTACTGACTCCTCTTTCTGTATCACTGAAACTGAAAGAGCTAAACTGTCATTCCTTGAATAAGAATGGCACTTTTGCTGACAGTATAACTTCTGCACATATTCATTGACCTAAATGGTGTATTTCACTTTGCCAGAAAGTGAAATACTCCAACAACCCAGAAAGAAAGATTTCATTAAGAGATAAAGAGCAAGAGCACGTAGGACACACCAAACCATAACCATATGGTTTCATCTAAGGGGAGCAGATGTGTCCAAGTTAGGAAAAATTGATTATTAAACATAGTAAAACTTTGAACTGCAATTAACCTACTCTGTGAGTGCGCTCTGCAAGATAAGGAAACATTTCTAACAAAATTTAACTTGATGAACAAGTGATGTCTTGCAATACAAGTTGTACGTGATGCCAAATGCTACACAATCACAACTAAGTCAAAGGTTCTCTCACACACACATGGGTTTGGGGTGATGGTGGCCTCCCAACTTCAAGAGGTTACGGGGGGTTGGCTGCAGAGGAGGAGAAAAAGGCTCGGGAACCCTCACTTCAAATGAGATTAGGCAGGTATGTAAAGTGTGGTATTTTGCACAAGATTTTGTAGAAAAAGCAGCACCTGAAAAAGGCTATAGCAGTACAAGCAATGAATCTGTTTAACAACCATGGAACGTCACATTTCCGAAAATCCTCAAAAGGAGGCAAAAGCAAGGGTCACTGGGTAGGTTCCTTGTTAAAGCTGTACTAAAAAGAAATAAAACTCCAAATGCTGATTGTATTAGTGAAAGTGAAAGTTGTCCTACACAACAACCCTCCTCTTTTGTCTTCCTCATAACAGCCACAAAGGTTTTCATAAGCAATCGCAGGTTTATTTTTCTTCATATGTTATTATTCTGTGATATATTACAGTTCTATAACACTTCCATATTTTTAGGTTGTGGAACTCATCACCTAAATTTCCATTACAGGGGCCGGGGAGATGACTCAGTGGAATAAGCGCTTCCTTGGCAAGCGGAAGGGCAAGTTCAATCCCTGGTTCCGCAAAAAATAAATAAATTAATCAATTAATTAATTTCCATTACAGTAGACCCCTGAAATTTGCAGGGATTTAGTTCTTGAAGAACCCAAGAAATATGAAAAACTGCTAGCTTCTGATGTGGTAAGAAAAAAGCCTAGCAATGCCTATTATGCTACCACAGCATAACTTATTAGTTCCCTGAGCAAATACCGTAGTACTTAGTTCGATCTTCACCTGGAGTATCTTAAACTTCTGGCACTTACATTCACTGCCAGGAGCCATACAAGCAAGGTATGGGGTGTTTTGGCAGCATCATAGGACTTTAAGAAGAACAAAAGCAAGAACACTGGAGCTAACTATGGCAGTGCAGAAAACTGTTTTGATTGTATGTATCTGTCAGCGATGGGATACAGGGCACCAGCCAATCAGTAACAAATAATGTTCTTAGGTTGGCTACTTGCAAATAATGTTCTTAGGTTGGCTACTTGTAAAGCTCCCATTTAAAAAACAACTGCAGAAGCTATCTGCAGTTTCCAATTACACAGGAGTCTTCAAACACTTATTAGATTCTAAGGAAGAATCCGTGAACCACCGAGGCTGTGAACTCTGACCTGTGACTTTGAGGGAGTATACTGTATTTCTTACGGGTAGGAAGAGCTTTGGGTTGCAAGAGCTTTGGATTGCAAGTATGTCTCTAGAACAGATCACATTCACAAACTAAGATATTACTGTAAATGCTGGATCATGGCTAATAAAAAGGGGAACTGCCCATATCTGGACACACAGGAAAAGGAGTGTCAGGGCTCTGTTTTTCCAAGGAAGGGGACTTTGTCCATCTCCTTACATGGCAGTTGTACCTAAAGAATTCTAGCATTTCAGTTCAACAGAAGCTCTGTGCCAACTTAAGATGGATGTAACTGTTACCGAACATGCACGAGTTCAAGTTCTTGAAGGACTCTGTGGCTGTATTTTATTTTCAACTTAAATCCTCGTAGAGAAAATGTGTTGATCTCATTTGAGGATTTTAGTTCCTGAGAAACAGCAGCACATCAATAAACTGGAATGCTATTCTGAGTTCCAAACCCGTGAGTCTACTCTGAGGAATGTATGCATCCTTGGGCATGGTGATAGAAATCTGATATTTTTCAGAGACACAAGGTTCAGGGTCATTACTGCAAAGTAGATTCACCAGGAGGCCTCTTATAAATCACATGCTCACAAGCTCAAGGTCACTATGGCAAGGTGAGTTTTCTTATAAAAACTGAAAAAACAGCAACAGGAGATAATAGAAAAACCCCAATATCCAATGACTTGGGGTGAAGAAAAGAATATTTAGGGTCGGAGAAATGGCTCAGTAGAATAAGTACTTCCCTGGCAAGTGCAAGGCCCTGAGTTCAATCCCCAGTTCCGCAAAAAAAAAAAAATGTTTTAAATGTTCAGACAAGTTTAGCTTCTAATCATTCAGCACTCTTAAAGCTACATATCTACAGAGTCTGCAAAAAAAAAAAAAAAAAAAAAGTGTATAAATATTTTAACACTAAATTTATTGAGTTCAATCCCTGGTTCCGCAAAAAATAAATAAATAAATAAATAAATGCATGAATTTACTGAGACATCATGAGATTAACAGAAGTTACCCTTGGCCTCTACAATTATAAGGTGCTCAAAGTGGTAGCTATCAGTTTGCAGACATTCATTACTTTTCTTTGCCTGAAGACTGTATACATGTTTTGGTGCAGTCTATACAGTATTCCTTATTCTCCCTTTTCTGAAAATTCTCTTCAAAACCGAGTGCTGAAAATTCTTGACAAGTCACATTATTGGCAAAAGTCATTAAATGCGAGTCATTTTTCTACGAGAAGAGAGACACTACCTTTAGACCTGTTTTAAATGGTTTCTCCTTGGTTCCATCTCCTGTAGCATCATTTCCCTCTCGATCCGACACATACAGCTCTGCTGTTTCATAAAATGAGAATGAGTTACTTGTTTGACCACTAACTCAGACACTTTACAGTACAACTAGGTTAGCTGTTTAGCCATCTCTTTGTAAACAGAATAACCATTAGATTAGTAAAATAAACCACAATCCAAAATACATGTTTACTCCTCTATGTTAAGAAGATATATCTCCTAAAAACATGAGTTTTAAATTTAGCTTTTCAAATCGAACTTGTGATACTGTTTCTATCTACCTGACTACCCATCAATAAAGCAGGGGCTTTAGTTAACCACACCAACATTGGAATCAGTCGTTGTACCTTAAAAACCAGTGTGATCCTACTTAATTTACTTAACCTTTTTGAGCTTCCTGCCTCTTCTATAAAACAAGGAAAAGAATATTCATCTTTGGTAGCTACACTGAGGATGAAAAAAAGTAACACATCCAGATCAGATATCCCTGTGCCCGTGGGCAAGTGGCTAATAAAAATAGCAGTTTCCTCCGATCTTTAACACAAACCTAAATTCTGAGGATAAACAAATGCAGTAGATGAAGCAGAGGTGATGGCCCAGGGCTGTAATCCCAACACTTAGGAGGATGAAACAGGAGTTTCATCCTGAGTTCCACTGACAGCTTGAGCTAAACAGTGAGACCCGATTGCAAAAAAAAAGCACATGCATAAATATTAAGGTCTCCCTGGTGTTAGAAACTGGATGAATAATGACCAGATATATATATATTGTAAAATGGGAAGAAATTGTTCAAAACCAGTGTAGAACAAGGGTGGGGAAAAGGGGAAGAAGAGGAAACGGGAAAGAAAAAGATTTTGCTAAAAAAGGATAAAATGGAAACAAAGCTTTGTAAATAGGGAGGAGAGAGGGGCTGAAGGGAGATGAAGGGATTGGAGAAAAAAAGTGGAATCAAAATATACCATGTACAGGTACAAATCCTCTATGATAAAAGTGATAAAAAATGTACCAATAAACAATTTTTAAAAAGTCAGAAGGCTTCACAACTGCAGACTGCAGAGGACTCGGGACAATCAGCCCAGGTCTCCTAATTTCCTTTTTCTCTTTTTGGAAATCTCAATACGAAACGAGTCTGTACAAGAGAGGATTGAACTTCTGTCCTGGAGAACACGTTGAGGAACTGCAGATCTGCAGGCTACTCCATGCCCGAGCGCCTCACGTCGCCCACGTCTCAGCGGAATCCTAGTTCGCAGGCAGGCGGACGCGGCCACCGTCGCCGTACCCCGCACCAGGGGCTGGAGGGGCGCCGGGCCTGCGCCACCGAGTCAGGCGCCCTCCAAGGGTGCCGCCAACATCTGGAGGCGCCAAGAACTAGGGCAAGCGCCTGTTTTCAGCGCCAAGTCTCACTCACCCAGCACCATTCCTGCAGTCGCACTGGTCACCTCCAAGGACATAATCTGTAACACCACCACGCTGCCCCGTCACCCCAACGTGCACTGGCGACTTCCTGGTCTCAGACGTTGCATCATATTCTGTAGCGCTTAGATCAGCTGACTGAGAACGCCCAGAGTCGAAGCTCCATTGGTTACGACATGAGGGCGATCGTCTCCGGTGCCGCCATGTTTGTTCAGGGCAAGACAACTTCCGGCCAGACTATCTCCGCCCCCAGCACCACTCCAACCCTGATGCTGGCTCCTCCCTAAGGGCGTCCCCTGCTTCCTGTTGAGTTGAGGCCTACAAAACTTTCGCTGTGAAAATCAAATTGAGGTAATTGACGTAATTACCTGACCTATCTGTCAGTTTCCATGTTGATGAAAGTTGCTATCAGATCCCTGCCTGCCTGGAATATACTAGGCCCTAAATAATGGGTGGGTCGGGGAGATGACTCAGTAGAATAAGCACTTGCCTGGCAAGTGTAAGGGCCTGAGTTCAGTCCCTGGTTCTGCCAAAGAAAAGAAAGGAAGGGTAATTGTCATCATTTTTCCTCAATGTAATGAAAATCCAGAGGGGATTGTTGTTGTTACTGAAGGAAGTATAAAAATCACTCAGGGTCTGGGCCTATCAAGAAAATAAGTCAAATACTTTTTTTTTTTTTTTTTACATTTATTTATTTATTGTGTGTGTGTGTGTGTGTGTGTGTGGCCGGCTCAGCCCACCTGGGGGCGGGGCTGACTGGCATGTGGCGTTGGGGGATCGAACCGTGGCTGTGCTTTGCCAAGCTTGTTCCAAGTAGGTGCTTTAGACCACTGAGCCATCTCACCAGCCCACTTTTGTATTATTTTCGTAGAGGATATTTCACCAAATTTCATGAACTTTTCCTTTTCCCTTTGCTTTTTTTTTTTTTTTCTGTATTTGTAGGAAAGAGGCTACAGGGTGTTCAGGGTCTCACTACTAGATCAGACTCAGTGATCCGCCTGTTTACAGCCTCCCAAGAGCTGGGATTACAGGGGCACGCCACCATGCCCAGTCTCAATTGCCATCTCAGCATGCCCCGGGGGCGGGGCCAGCATGGCAAGCCCCAGAATTGAACCCCCAGCCCCTGTACCTGCTTGCAGGCACTTTAATCCGCTGAACTATTTGGCTGGCCCTCCTTTGGCGTTTTGCATTTACAGATGCTTTGATTATCCGTTGCTGCAAATTACAGTGTGACTACCTCACACAATTTCTGATGGTCAGGAATTTGGAATCAGCTTAGCAGAGAGTCCTTGCTCAGGATTTCTCCAGTATCTTGCTGGGGGCAAGGGCTGCAGTCATGGAAAGGGTTACTGGCTGAGAATGGAAACTGCAGCCAGACTCACTAAGGTGGTTGTTGGCAGGGGCAAAGACTGCGATTGTGTACTAGACATGCTGGGGGCATGGGGATCTCAAAAGACACCGGTGAAAGGAAGTCTTCTCACATGATGGAACTCTGGCAGTATGCCTGGTTTTCCATGTTCCACCCTCTTTTGTCCCCCCTATTGATACCAGGGATTGAACCCAAGGCGTTTGCACTAGGTTACATTCCCAGAACTTTTTTATATGTGGCTTTGACACAGCATCTTGTGAAGTCTCTAAATTGCTCAAACTGGATCCTTTTGGATTACTAGTATGTGTCACCACCATGCCTGATGTTATCGTTTGTGTCTAGATGTCCCCCCCCCCAAAGCCTCATGTGGTCATAGGGCTTTTTCAGAGGTGGCTGACTAGAGTGGGATTGGTGCATGCTGCAGTCTCAGTGCTTGGTGGGATTAAGGCAGCCCTAGTGTGGTAGCCTGCATACAATATATAAGGCTGGGGAGATGGCTCAGTGGAATAAGCGCTTCCCTGGCAAGTGCAAGGGCCTGAGGTCAATCCCCGGTTCCGAGAAGGAAAAAAAAAAAAGCATACAATACATATACACAACATAAAGGACAGAGAGAGTCTCATGTCTCTCACTTATTGCATTTGATGTTTTCCATCATCATGAACTTTTGGCCCTCTGCCATGTCACCCTGCCTGGGAGCCAGGCTATTATGGACTAAAATCTCTATAAACTTTTCCTTCTTTAACACTGGGTGTCAGATATTTTGTCTCAGCAACAAGAAGGAAGTAACTAATGTCCCTGGAGTCATGTATGATATAAATAGGGTGGTCACTAGCTAAAGGGTCAGCCGTTTTGAGGTAAGATAGAAGAAATAAGATAGGTGAAAGGGGTTAAGAAAAAAATCATAATTTAAAACTTTAAGAAAAGCCTCAACTTCAGGGCACAAAGTTACCCAAAGTTTCAGCCTTTTTTTTTTAACCCTTTGTCTCAGAAATTCACTACCAAAAATTCCCAGCAATCTTAAAGATACAGTGAGCCTGTACGCTTTGTCCGCTCTCTGCCTTTCCACAGATTTCCATCCTCAAAGAAGCAGCATTATGAAATGGGCAAGACAGTGGTACAGAAATCCAGCCTGCTGGGAATGACTAACCAGAGGGACAAGTGGAGGTTAAAAGCAAGAAACTGAAATAATTTTGAAAGAGAACAAGGTGACTGTGGTCCCTAGTGGAGAAAGAGCCCTGAGTGTCTGGCTTACTTCACTTTTATTCAACTTAGGCAAAGGAGCAAGCAATTAGGTCAGTGGAAAATTCATCTGTTTCTCACTATTTGCACAATGTATCCAGGTAAGTATTTCTCTAAAAATCTCAACTGTTGTTGGAGCTTGCCGTGAGCTGGCAAGTGGGCATATTGCCAACCGGGGAGCAGTTTGATAGTCCTTCCATGTCCCCAGGGAAGGTCAAGTAGGCCGTGATTCTTATGACTAGCTTCCCCACACATAGGACTCCTGAGATGGCTGGGGGTTACAGTCCTAGAGCACCTGTGAACTGTGAAAAACCGAATTTCAGACATGGTCAGAAAAATGCTTATTAATGTTTAATTTATAGCTTAAACTCTAACCATGCCATGTTTCCCCAAATTATATAATTCAGTAAAAGTCTATTAATAAAGCTTTAGAAGGTACAGATAAGTCCTTCACTTCTGTGGAGGACCACCTGGGTGACTCTCCTTAAAAGAAGAGCAGTTGTCTCCATTTTGGCTGTGCCTGACCCTATTTCCATGTAGTGATAGGTACAGCCCAGGTGCTGGTGGCATGCTGTTCCCTGATAACCCACACATGTTGCTCTTTAATATGAGCCAGGTCGAGACAGGATGAAAAGCCAGTGTTCTGTGCTGTCTGCTGGGATCCAGCCTGGAGACAGAGGCTATGACTTCCTGGGGCTTAAAAGATTACACCTCAGAGCTGAAGCACCAGACCCCAAAACATTGGATACTATCTTAATAATAATGCAATTTACTTTTTCTGCATATCCTTCTCTGCCTATCACAGAGGTAAATACAGGCCTCCTGCCTAGCCCAGCTCACAGTACTCACCTACTTCTGTAATTCTCAGTCAATCATTCTTAAGCCAATCCTCCTTCATGACTGAATAAAACCCAGGTTTGGCCCAGGGTCAAGGCCTTTGTTCCAGATAGCCATCATCATGGCTGGACTTTCAACCTTCTTGGCTCCCCAAACTATAAATATGCCTTAGTGTCTTTATTCTTGCTGTGGGTTGCACTGCTAGTGGTAGATTGGAATTAACTTGATGGGATTCCAATAACATATTTTGGGATTACAAATATAAACTTGGGACCAAGACGACCAGCTCCCTACACACTTCCTTGCTGTTGACCAAATCAAAGGAGGACATAGATTTGATAAAAATTAAAAGGATATATTCAAATCCATCGCTGAGAAGACAATAGGGCCCATTGCTTCAAATCACTTTCAATGAGTACAAGTGAGTGAAGGTCTTTCATAGGAAGGAATGGGGGCAGGCAGTACAGAGAGGTAATTCGGATCTCTGTTCTTGCTTGATCATTTCCACCCGTCTTCATTCAACTCCTAGTCTCCTTATTTGTGAAAAGGAAGCTGGACTCTAGCCTCTTGTGGCTGGTATCTGCATATTGTCCTTCTTTTAGGGTGAGGAGTGGAAAGCGTTGGGTTATGTGCTCAGCAGATACAAATTTGGAGTAATTGCTTATCCCTAAAAGAAAAAATTCTCTTAAAATTCCATTTCTTTGGGAAAAGAGCATTACAGATTCTTGGTTAATGGCCAGTGAGGGGACTGTCCAAGTAAGTACAACTACTGTGGTGGGCGGGTACAGACGGAATGCCCCTGAGAATGAGAGGATGCTTCCCTTCTTACTTTAAAAAGTAAAACATAAGACAGGGATACAGACTGAGTTGACAAGAGGATAGGGAGATAGTTCAGTGGAATAAGTGCTTGCCTGGCAAACATAAGGTCCTGAGTTTGATCCCTGGTACCTCTAAAAATGAAAAAAAAAATCACAGACTGAGTTGAGGCTGTAGGAGGACTGTGTGTTCAGTAGCCCTGGGCTGCATTCCCTTTTCCCATCTCATTTATTTTGTTCTTCACTGGTGTCTTTTCTTTGGGAAAAGAGCATTACAGATTCTTGGTTAATGGCCTCAAGGTGGATGGTAGATATCTCAATTATTTCATGGAAATGAAGATACTTAGAGAATTTGTTAAAATTAAATACACATACATGGGCCAACCAGATAGCTCAGTGGACTAAAGCACCTGCTTAGGTAGGCGCAGGGACTGGGGTGCGATCCTCAGAGTGCCATGTTGGCCCTGCCCACAGGAGTGCACTGAGAGAGTGACGGAGACTGGGCATGGTGTCATGCACCTATAATCCCTATGCATGGGAGGCTGAAAACAGGAGGATCACGATGAATCTGATCTTTGTAGTGAGACCCTGAAAGACCCTGTACTGGATACATAAAAAAATACAAAAAATTAATCACATGCATTCTGCTATAAGGGAGATCATCTGTTGTAGTAAGTTATATGGTATGCTCAGGTGCCGCTCAGGTACCACTCAGCTATGTGTTTAAACCAGATGCTTGTGGGTCATGGGGCATATATCAGTCCACTATTGGTACAATAAAACTGTATAACAAAATGTCCCCGAACTCACAGCCCTAACACCACAGTTATTTATTCTCACTCATGCATCTTGGTGTGAACCA